TTCAACACAGGGACTTCACTCTGGGCTCAAATTAAAGATAAAACCCCACAAAACACATTCTACCATCCATATTTACTCACAGCATGATTAAATTAAAAAATATATATATTAATATTCATAAATATTTACACCAACTCTGTACTTTCAGCCAAATTTCCACCAATAACCAGCCAAACCGCAAGAATAAACAATATATCCTTATATCTTTCAGAGCATTAACATTCCACACAGCTTATAAAACCACCAGCAGCGAAAAAATATTTGTTTTTTACTCACATTTGATGCATATTTGTCCTCAAATATGTCCAAATTAGCGACTCAAAATGGCGACCGGAAGTCTTTTTATCCAAATAATTTTACTTCTCCTGGCCACAAAAATCCCTCTTCCATGTCTTGAAGCACTCAAAACACATAATAACAAATATATTTTCATCTTATCAGCAGGTTTAGTCGGCTAACTGGTCAAAAAACGGTAGAAAACAACGTTTTCCTGTGAGCGTTAGCTGCCAGTCAATCAAAGATAGAAAGACAAAAACCGGAAGTTGGTCACTACTGAGGTTTTATTGGCCCTAGACTGGCGAAACTTGAACCCAGTTGGTCAAAAGAGGTGTCAATCRAAAGAGGAGGGCCTAGACGTCAAGTTTGATGTATTGCACACGGACACAGGCGGAACAGGAAACAGATGTTACACTTCAAAATAAAAGAAATACAAAACGGCATGCTGAATTCAGCTGAATTTTAGTTTCTTTTTTTTTATGTTATTTTATTTTTTTTGCATTTTCAGCTTTTCAAATTGAACTTTCATTACTGTTTTCCTATTAAACATTTTCAGCTCCGTTTCAGCAGCTTTCAGCTAAAGTTTTCAGCATTCTCACTGTTTTGCAGGAAATGCGGTTTCTCGAGTTAAAAATGTTCCATTTTCTGAAYCATGTTTTGTTTTGAGGAAAAACTGAAGCAAATCCAGCGAATCTAAAAATCAGCTGTGACTCTGCGTCCCGCGCTCCCACCCCTCTCCCCCTCATTACTTCTCCATATGTAGATAGCCTCGCATTATTATTATTTTTCTGCCTGATTTCGCTGACGCAGCAGCGGCCAAATGAAGTGAGATATACGGCGGAGCTTATTGGTGGAGATGGCCAATCCCTTCTGGCCAAAACCATTAAGAAAATGGACCAGTTGGTCTCCTCGCTGCTATTTTTAGAGCTTAATCAGATGTGAAAAATAAGAAATAAACAAATCAAGTCTTTTTGGCTGTCTGGAGGCTTCTGCTAAGGTTGTGTGCGACAATAATTACCACAGTTTGGTTCCTGTGAGCAGCACATGATGTGCAGCCATGATTCTCTTAACGGTAAACAAATAATAAAGGAAAACGACAACGAGAGCCAATTAAAATGAGTTTTAGTTGAAGATTTAAAGTTTATATCTCAATATTAAATAAAATTTCTCCACTTTATCACATTACACTTGGATTTTCCATCTTTTATGTGTCAGATTCCTTCCTCTGCAGGTGAAAATGTTTATGTAGCTGAAATTTTGTTTCTAAATGATGCATTTTTAAAAAATCTGTCTGAAATCAGAGTTTTGAGTGTTACAACTGAAGGAGCAGGAAGCTGAAAACCCTCCACAGACCTTAAAGTGGCCGTGACATCAGTTTTTGTAATGATTTTGAATGCATTTTTGTAAAGAGAACATTAATAACATGTTGCAAAAACTAAAATGACGCCGCTGAGACGAACAGTTGTTGAGATATTTGCACGTGAAGAAACAGGAAGTGATGTCACAGGGGAATGTCTGCRTGAAAACATTTTTTAGTGATTTCTGGTCAACTGTAACACAAAAACGGCTGCACTGATCAGTATGAAATTTGTCAGGAATGTAGATGAGTCTGACCTACACTGGGCCAGCCAATGGTTTTATGATAGACCCCATATTTGAGGAGGGGGCTCCATCTGAAAAGGGGTGTCAAAAATGCTTATAGCTCAAAACATCATCCTTTTATCACCCACCCAATCCCATGGTTCATTGCTCAGCAAAGCCAACTGTTCACACAGATATGAATAGCAGGAAAACGTAAATGTCAAAGTAGTATACTAC